GTCTTACTGGTTGTACTTTGTAGGAAACATTTCATTTTTCCTGAACTGCTATCCAGATTCTGTCTTTGTCTTTGGTTTTGCAAAGTTTGATTATGATATGTCTTGGTGACTTTCTCTTTGGGTCTATCTTTTATGGGTTTCATTGAGCTTCTTGAACAGATATTTTTCCATCTTTCATGATATTGGGGAAGATTTCTGCTAGCAAATCTTCAACAGTTTTCTCTGTGGCTTTTTTTTTTTTTTTTTTGCCTCCTCTTGTTCTGGAATTCCTATCAGGTATATGTTATTTCTTTTTATATCATCCCATATAACTCTTAGAGTTTCTTCATTTCTTTTTATTTTCTTTTCCAATTTTCCTCATACAAGCTGGTATCAATGGATTTGTCTTCTACCTTGGATATGCAATTTACTTCTGTAGTGATACTGCTTCAGAAATCCAAGGAAGAATCACTATGAGTCAGATCTGACTTGATGGCAGTTTGAGACACACACACAAAAATACCAAACCCATTGCCATCGAGTCAATTCACACTCACAGTGATCCTCATTGAGTTTCCAAGGCTGTAAATCTTTACACCACTGGATTGCTTCATCTTCCTCCTGAAGCAGCTGGTGCGTTTGAACCATTAACCTTCTGGTTAGCAGCCAAATGGCTTACCCACTATGCCACCAGAGCTCCTTATGCATTCGTTAGCACATTCAATTCTACCCTCTTGTCCTTCCATTATGCTATCTTTCTCCATAATTTTAGTATTCATCTTCTGGTTATCTAATTGCCATTTTTATATGATCTCTAACTGGCTATTTCACTTAATTGTACTTATGAGGAAACTGTACATATACCAGCAGGCTGTCATTCAAACAGAAAAAGGGAACACTGTGTGGTTTAAAATCAAGAAGGGAGTGTGTCAGGGTTGTATCCTTTCACCATGTTTATTCTATCTGTATGCTAAGCAAATCTGAGAAGCTGAACTATATGAAGAAGAATGTGGCATGAGGATTGGAGGAAGAATCATTAACAGCCTGTGATACAGTGATGACACAACTTTGCTTGCTGAAAGTGAGGATGACACTTTAGTATTAGTGATGAAGATTGAAGAATATGGTCTGCAGTATGGATTACATCTCAATATAAAGAAAACAAAAATCCTTACAACTGGGCCTATAAGCAGCATCATGATAAATGGAGAAAAGATTGAAATTGTCAAAGACTTCACCTTGCTTTGTTCTACAATTGACACCAATGGAAGTAGCAGTCAGGACATCAGATGACATATAGTGCTGGGCAAATCAGCTGCAAAAGACCTCTTTCAAGTGCTGAAGAGCAAAGATGTCTCCTTGAGGACTAAGGTGCGCCTGACACAAGCCATGATATTTTCCATCACCTCATATGCATGTGAGAGCTAGACAATGAATAAGGAAAACTGAAGAAGAATTGATGCTTTTGAGCTGTGGTGTTGGCAAAGAATGATGAAAGTACAATGGACTGCTAAAAGAACTAACAGGTCTGTCCTGGAAGAAGTGCAGCCAGAATGACCTCAGAGGTGAGAATGGCCAGACATTGTTTCACATACTTTGGTCATGTTGTTAGAAGGGACCATTCCCTGGAGAAGGATGTTATGCTCAGTAAAGTGGAGGGTCGATGAAAGAGGGGAAGGCCCTCAATGAAATGGATTGACACAGTGGCATCAGCGATGGGCTCAAGCATAGCAAGAATCATGGAACTGGCTCAGGACTGGGCGGTGTTTTGTTCTGCTGTACATAGGGTCGCTATGAGTCGGAGACAACTCAATGGCACCTAACAACAACTGGCTATTTATTTTGTCATTTTGTTCTTGTATGATTTTACTGAATCCTTCAAGGTTATTGTCTGTCTTTTCCTTGCTCCTATTTATACTTTCCTTGAGCTCTTGGAAAGTCCAATATATTTTTCTTTGAATTCCTTATCAGGTATTATCTGATCTTCCTTGGGGAGATTTCCTAGCTATTTATTTTGGTCAATTGCTTCTTCCATCTTGTCATGTTCGTTTGTTTGAATTGAAATTGTTTGTTGCTTCTGAGACATTTTGAAGTTGTTGTTTTTATTATTGATATGTGTTGGTTTTTTTCACACTGTTTTTTTGTTTTGCTTTGTGTAAATGTAACCAAATATGAGTGGAGCAGCATGCTTCTTTGGTCGTTAACTTGGCAACACCGGGGCAATCCTCAGCTATCTCCTGATTAGTGGAATAACTGGTGGCAATGTGGGTGTGGGTCTCTGTCACGATGAGGAGCTGCAGGTGGTATGAACAGGTTTTGTCCACCATCTATTATTGATCCAGTGGTGTAGGAGTTAAGAGCAGTGCTTGTCCATTGGATAAGGCGGTTGGTGAAGTAGATATGGCCAACTAGTGGACAGTTAATGTCCTCCTTCTGTTGGATGGGACAAGAAGAAAAAAAGAGAAGAAAAATAATGAGGAGAAGATGAAGAGAAGGAAAAGGGAAAAAGATGAAATAAAAATAAAAGATCAAAAATATAGAAAAAAGAAAAAAGAGAATGAGGTGGTCAAGCTGAAAGATTGGCAAAAAATGCAAGAAGACAAAAAGGAAGAGGGAGAAATAAACAGGTAAAAAGGGAGAAAAATTAGAAAAGGGGAAAATAAGGAAACTGAGGAGAGGCATTTGTAATTATGGTCAGCTGGCAACTCTGGTAGCAGGCAGGTGTAGTAGAAATCACTGGTCCATTGGGGTGTATGCCTGCAGAGGTGAAAAGAGACTAGCTACAGTGGGATCCTCCAATAGAAAAAGGCTGTAGTTATATGCACTTGCGTTCAGTGTGAGAAGGATCAGCCAATGATGTACGCAGAGGAAGGAATACCTGCAGCCTCTGGGTCTCTCAGTTTGGAGTGAGTTGTTGCGGGTGGCTACGGGACTTCCTTGGCAACTGGCTTGTTGGTGGTAGGGAGAGGTTTTGCCCCTATTCAAAGGGAAGCTGTACTTTTTGAGTGGAGAGTGTGGCTCACCATTTGCGATTCACTGGCATGGGTCTGGCACCCTTCTGGATACACGCAGTGTTTATTCAGCTCCTTCCCAGAATCTAGTGAAAGATCACCCTGATACTATCTTCTCTAACCACCCCAACACAGGCCTTTCTAGTCACAGAGGTGGGAGTGCCTGGCATGAGTGAACCCCCCTGAGAGAGGAGGCTGCAGAGGTCTGTTTCTTGTGTTCAGTGTGAAAAGGTTCTCTCAGTCCCTAGGCACCCAGTGGGCAAGTTTCAGACCCTGACTCATCCTACTAGAGGTGGAGGTTTCCACCAGGGATCAAGGTTCATGAAGGGGTTTTTTCTATTCACTGGGTCCGTGCCTGCAGAATGACTATTTACTGTTATGAACAGGGAAGGTGTACATTTGTTTGATCAGAGAGCATATCCCTCCTATCTCAATTCCTTGGCATGGGTATGGTATCCTTTTGGACACATGCAGCCATTTATCCACTCTTGTCCAGATACAATCAAGTAAGGGATTGTCCTGATCCAGTTTCTTCAACTGCCCCAACAGAGGCCTTTTGCTAAACCAAACCTTGTTTCTACTGTTGGTGCATCTTTTGATTCCCTTTTTCTCTCCCTCCTCTCTCTGTGGCTGCCTGTGCCACTGTAACTCTGACCCACTTCCCTGCATGTTCCTCTCCCAGCTGCCACACATCTATTGCTCACCTTGAATTCCTCCCAATCTGTCTACACTGTGTTGTTACTGCTGTGTGGATTCTGTGAAGTTTTCTTTCTTTTTTCCCCCTTCTTGTCAGTGTTTGATGTCTCTATTCAAAATGTCTGTACTTCAACTGGTCCCGGCCTCTTCTCTCCCCCCAATCACTAATCTCACTCTGTTTCCTTTTCCTATCAGTGCTCAATGCAATTCTTTATGCTCTCATTTGATGCTCAGAATTCCAGGACCATTATTTGTATCGTTTTCACTTGGTTTTTCAAGTCTTTGTCGTTGAGAGATTGGGTGGGGTGTGTTAGCAGGATGCCATCTTGTCTCCACCCCAGCCCATATCTTTTTGGTTTGAAATCTTTTGATTTGAAAATCGCCTTTAGTTAGTTTTGGTGAATACATTCAAAAGTGGAGAAGGAGTTATGCTTCAGAGCAACCCTCAATCAATAAGGTACTAGAGTTGGTTAATAAGTACCATAACTTCCTGACCCCTCAGTGAGACAATTCTGAGTCATTTCTTCAGAGTCTCTCAGAAGGCCCCAGAGGGATTAGGCCCAGTTGCTCACAGTGATAGCCCACTCATTAATATTTTCCTTGATTTTCTGACTCATTTTTCTACCTTATCACCATGCTTTCTGTGATCTGCCTGTAAACTACTTTCATTTAAATCCTAACCAAAATTTCAAATTCACAGCCATTGATTCCAACTCATGGTAACCTCATGTGTTACAATGTAGACTGAGCTCCATAGGGTTTTCTTGGCTGTAACCTTTATGAAACCAAATAGCCGGGACTTTATGTCACGATTAGTAGCCAAGTACAAATCATTATGCCACCCAGGGCCTTGTCTCCGCTTTTAGAGTGAGGAGGAATGGGATCCAAGTTTAGATATGGGGATAGCAATAACTACATCACAGTGTTATGCGAACTAGAGATAATATATGTAAAACTTCCCATAACAAGGTCTGGCACATAGTAATGGCTCAAAAAATAGTTTCCATTGTTACCACTAACAAATATTAATATTACTCACATTAGCTGTTACCATGGGGTTAGTGTTTTCAAGCTCATTTTAGAACTAAAGAAATTGGGTCATTGAGAGGCTTCCTCAAAAGAGACAACAGAGAGCGGGATTTCTTGAAAAAGGTATTCCTGAGCTAGTTCTCCCAACTCTTAGGTCCTTGTTGGGGGCTGTATGATCCAAACAGGAATTACTGCCAAGGGAGGGATGTTGAGGGTCAATGAGGGTCAATAAGTCTTCCTGCAGCTGAAAGGAAAGGAGTTCCTAACACCAGTTTGTCCCTGTAGGCCTGGACCCTGCTGGACCAGAGTACACCAGAGCCAGCCTGGAGGAGCGCTTGGATGCTGGGGATGCTCTTTTTGTGGAAGCCATCCATACAGATACCGACAGTGAGCTGGGGTGACATTGCTGGGATGATGAGGGCAGGGGTTAGGAGTCTGGCATCTGTATGACCCTGGGCAGCTCCCTCACCCCTTTGACCTTCTGTTGAACAATGAGGAGTTGACCAGCATGATCTCTAAACTTTCTTCCAGGTCTATTGTTCTCTATGAGGTGAATGGTGTTATTTTTAGCCAACAGTAGGCAAGAGTGGGACTCTCACTCTCTGATTTAACACCAAACCTGTCAGTAAATAGCAGGGAGGGCATTGTTATCTGCTGATACTCAGAAAACTCATATTGCCCTTTCTGTGTGTGTGTGGGGGGGAGGGGGCGGTGGTGCCTGGCTCTAGGGGCTTGAGGGATCCTGGTCCTGCGGCAGCTATACAGGCCTGTCAGCACTTCCTCCCTGGAAGATGAGCCCAAATTTCTGTTCATTGGAGAATGAGAATCTCAATCTTCCGTAATAGTGACATACATAAAAGAGACTCCCAACTCTGAATCTTTAATGACCAAATTAAGCTCTTCTATCCAACTGTGTAGAGTGGGGGATATTCCTATTCATTTCTACTCAATACCAATTAAGTTTCTCAATTCAATGAAGACTTCCCATGGTGTCTGTGCCAGGGACAGTGCTTAGCATGGTGGGTTTAAGAAGTAATATCCTGTCCCTGACCAGAGCTTACAACTCAAATGAGAGACAGACGGCCCTGTCAGAGCCTTCCTTTAGCATCCAAGACTCCCAGACCCTGGTTTCTGGAAGGAATCCATGCAGTCATATTATCCAACCCCCTTTACCCCTTTCATTGCACAGATAGATAACCAGACCACAGTCCTCTGCCTAGTCAAGTGGTTAATCCCTTATGTTCCTAAATTTTCTAAATAAGTGATTTTTTAGGTCTCCATTTACCAGAGCAAGATCTCTCAGGCCCCTTCAAAGTTGGAGCCTCTTCTTGAAGTGAGTTTAAAAAAGCAAAAATAAACAAATATGTATTCAATGTAAATTTATTCAACTATGAGATAGTCATAGCTTAGGGATTCCCTTCAGCTTTCCGTGCTATGAACATGCTGATGGTTTCCGTCTTCCTTGGTGTTCTGGTTACCTAGTGCCACTCTGACAAGAATATATCACCAGTGGGATGGCTTGAACAAACAGAACTTTATTCTCTTACAGTTAGAGAGGTTAGAACTCCAACTTCAAAGTGCCAGGCTCTAGGGATTTTGTGAAAGCCCCTCAACCTTAGGCTTCAGCTCTGCCTCTTGCTCCCACCCCATTGAAGCTAGAGGCATCTCTTCAGTCAGGCAGCTACTGGCTGCTGAGGCTAACAAGCCCAAGGTCGACAAGTAAGATGGCACAGTCCCAATGTTACCAAACCACATGGCAGGCCACTTATTCAAGTCAATTGAAAGTCCCAAGGTCAGCAGAGCATGGTAGGCTGCCGAACAATGACATGGCTACATGCAGGGTTCAAGCATGCCACAAGCTAGAGACCATTCCCCCCAGGCTTCTCCTTATATACAGGAAGCAGACCAGATCCCTAAAGCAGCTACTCAGCTGCTCCAATAGATTCCACCATGGAGATAATTTCCAATCTTACCATGGGGAATAACTACATCCAGCTGGCCAGCCACTCAACCAGGCCTAGCCAAGTTGACACACAAACTTAACTACCACACTGGGTGGTTGTCTTTGTTTGGCCTCTGTCCTGTCCAAGACTTAACTAAAAGTGTCTCTACTGAACCTGTTTGAATGCAGGGTCTCTTTCCCCTATTACGGAACCTCCATACTGCCTCTGGAAAGGTCAGGTTTTGGAGGGACACCTTTACTTACTTTATTTCACTTTTAAAAAATGTGGTAAAATATATATAACAAAACATTTGACATTTTATCCATTTTCATGTCTGTAATTCAGAGACATTAATTATCTTCACCATGTTATGCAACTTCTTCTAAATTTTCCATCACCCTTAACAGAAACTTAACGCCCCTTAAGCAGTAACTCCACATTTTCCCCCTCCCACCTACCCCTGGTTATTGTTAGGTGCCTTCAAGTCAATTTTCTACTCATAGTGAATATATGTAACAGAGTAGAACTGCCCCATAGGGTTTTCTAGGCTGTAATATTTATGGAAAAGGAGCCTCGGTAGTGCAGTTGTTAAGCACTTGGCTGCTAACTGAAAAGTCAATGATTCAAACCCACCAGCTGCTCCATGGCAGAAAGATGTGGCAGTCTTCTTCCATAAAGATTACAGCCTTGGAAAATTTGTGGGATAGTTCTTCTCTGTCCTATAGGGTTGCTATGAATTGGAAAAAAGAAAAAAAAAAAAAAGGAAGAAGAAAAGAGAGTTATAGTTCAGTGAACACTGCAATGAACAAGGCAGTTACGGTCCCTGCCCACATGGAACTTATATTCTGATGGGACAGGTGTTCCCTCATTTATTCATTCAATAAATATTCATTAGGTATTCATCCCATGTCAGGTACTGCACTAGGTTTTGGAGTGGCAGCAGAAAAAAAGACAGGAAAAGTCCTTGCTGCTGTGGCCTTTACATACCAGTAAGTTAGTAGACATGATAATTACACATTGTGATTATTATTATGAAGGATATAAATGAGATCATATGTGTAATAGAAAGTGACTTGGGTAAAATGTCTACTTCAAATAGGTTTATTGGGGAAAGTTTGTCCAAGAAGGTGATGTTTGAATTGAGGCTTTGCATATGAGAATGAACCAGCCCTTAGAAAAGCTGGGAGAAAATCATTTTGGTGGAGAGAATAGCTAAAATGAAGGCTTTGACCTGAGTAAGGACTTGGCCTATTCTAGAGACAAGAAAAGGAACCATGTGATTAGAATGCAGTGAACAGAGATTCAGATACAGAGCAAATTTGGCCTCTTTTCTAGGATGGCCAAAGCAGAGTTTAAATTTCATTCTAAGATCAGTGGGAGCAGGGGAGTGATTTGGACTTCGTTAAAAGATTGACCAAAAAACATTTTTAAATTTTAAAAAAGGAAATTCTGATACATATTACAACATGGATGAACCTCAAAAACTTTATGCTCAGTGAAATAAGTCAATTTGAAAAGGACAAATATTGTATAATTTTATCTACCTGAACTAACAAGAATAGGAAAATGTATAGAAACCAAAGTTTATGAGTGGTTACCAGGAGCAGAGTGGAGGGGGAAAAGGAGGAGTCTTTCTTTAGGAAGCAGTATATTTACAGTAATGGGAAATCTGGCAAGGATTATGTTGAATCAGCAAATCCTGTGTTATGTATATTTTTAAAAATAATAAAAAATTATATGTAGATTCTTAAAAAGTGAATTAAGAAAAGGACTCTGGCTGCTGTGTAGGGAATGGGATGTAGAAGGGGACCAAGGGAAACACGGAAGACTGTTAGAGGGTGTTTACAGGAGTGAGTGTGAGAGATGATGGTGGGTTGGGCAAAGGTGGTGGCAGCAGAGACTGAGAAAAATAGAAAGATTTAAAACACATTTGGAGTTTGAGATGACTGGATTTATGATGAGCAGAATGTGGGCAGCTGGGGACAGGGAGAAATCAAGGATTACTTCTAGGTTATTGCTTTCATTAAGTGAGTGAAATTAAGCAAATGATACTTACAACTGTGATGATTAATTGATAGGAAGGAGAAAATCAGTGTCTTTAGCAGCGAGGCCTGACTCAATCAGAAGGGTTGAATATATCACATTGGAGGGTCTGAGACATGGTCATAATGATGAGATGAAGGCCATAGGCTCTCTCTTAACCTCATGTCTTTGTAGCCAGGTCATATGTCTGCTCAGTTAGAAGAGCACAAAACGTGTTGTTTGTGAGACTAAAGAAAAGTAATTGAAGATAATATTGCTCTGAACTGTTGCTCAAAAGAAAATAGAAACCGTTGCACAAGGAAAATTACCAAACGTACAAAATGTACTGATTTATAAAGATTTGTGGCAGGGGATAGTTTTCTCAAATTTATTAGTAATGGATTTCTTCTTCTTGGCTTCTTTTCAGCATGGAAAAACCCCTGCAGAAAACTGAGAATTAGGTTCTAAGACTCAGGGCACTTGGGAGTCGGGGCAACCATTCAGCACCAGAAGTGGGTGGCATCCCAAGGTCATACCTTAGGCTCTGTGGTCAGTGGACTGTGCTGTGGGACCTGGAAAATATGTCCCTGCAGTAAGAAGCTAATGAGGTTTTCTTCCTTTCAGATTTGGGTATCCGGATTCCCGTTGGACATGTGGACTACTTTGTCAATGGGGGCCAAGACCAACCTGGCTGCCCCACATTCATTCACGCAGGTCAGAAAGTTAGAGTTGGATCTTTGGCTGCCTTGAGACTGGAGCTCCCCAATAGCTTTCAGGTGCAGTCAACCAGTATGGGACCACGGAGGATCTTCCTTTTGGTGTCCTTTGCAACATCCCAGAATGCATTACTTAATACTTACTGAATGGATGTCTTTATCAGTTGCCTCCAAGTTGATTCCAACTCATGGTGACCTCATATATGTGAGAGTAGCACTGAGCTCCATAGAGTTTTCAAGGGGTGAATTTAGGAAGTAGATCACCAGGCCTTTCTTCTGAGGTGCCTCTGGGTAGATTTTAATTGCCAGTCTTTAGGTTAGCAACTGAATTGTTTAACCATTTGCACCACAGAGGGACTCCATTGCTATATACCAAAGTACATTACTTAGTACTTGTTGAATGGATGTCTTTAGAGCTCAGGAATACTGAAGGTAAACCCATTGCCAACAAGTGGACTCTGACTCATAGCAACCCTATAGGACAGAGTAGAACTGTCCCATAGAGTTCCCAACGTTATAAATCTTTATGGAATCGACTTATCTTTCTGCTGCAGAGTGGCTAGTGAGTTTGAACCACCAACCTTCTTAGTGGGTTTCAACCACCAAAGCAGCCTAATGCTTTGACCACTGCACCACTAGACTTCCTTTCTGAAGGCAGAGTGCCGGAAATTAAAAGCCTGCATCATATTTCTCAATGTCTTCCTCTGTCTCCTGTTCTACCAGTTTGTTTTAGCTTCTGTGATGATCTAATATCATTCAAACCAATAACCTCTACTATTTCCTGGACTCTAGTTTGTGGCATAATCCACACTAGTCACATCCTGTGCAGAACCCAGTGGCAGCAGAAACAGACCAGTGTGCCCAAAGTTAACTGAATGAAGGGTCATTTCACTGTATGAGCATTTCACCAAATCTACTAAATTTAACAACTTCCTAAAATTGTTTTCAAGATAATCTTTTTCAGTATACTCAAAGAATATACATTTCTTCTCTTATAAATATATTCTTTTAGAATGTTCATTTTGAACATTTTAAATAATACTAAATTTGTGAAAAACTAAACATCACAGGGCTGCTTAGACTTTTAAAGAATATAATCAACATATTACATTTCATATGGAAATTTTAGTTGATCTTGATGATTATCTTCTGCATTTTTATAGTCTTTTACTGCTTTACCAAATTTTAACATTCTAAGGATCCTTTTAACAATTTGTTGAATAACCAACTACTAACCTAATTTACCAATTGCAAGTAATCCTCCTTTTAACTATTTATCAATTTTTAACAATTCTTATCAGAGGAGATTATTTGGTTTCAATGGCTTTTGAAAATTCCTATGGCATTTTAGTTGACCACTTTCAATTTTTTTCTCCATAAACCAATTTGAGAAGGCTCCTGTTTGTTTCTTCCCCAGCTCTGTGCCACAGCTAGAAAAAGCTGGGGTATACAGAGTGTCCCACTGATGGGGGAAAGGAAGGTCAATGCTCAGGTCAGCCTTGGCTGCCGGTCTGAGATGGGGTACCAAGGGAGATGGAAAGTCTAAAGGCCACAGAACCTTGGAGCATGGCTCACCACAGACCTCTTGGCCCTGGCTGATCCATCCAATGTAGGTTGCTGTGAACTTTTAAATAGTTAACAACAACAGCAAAACTAAGTTTTTGGTAAATTGGGACATTTGGCAAACTCAGTGTCCTAGTCATTTGGCCAGGTGTACCTCAGCAAATTGGCTTTTAAAGATTCACATGAACTGTGCTGACTCTCTTGATTGTCTCACTGTTGAGGTGGGTATAAGGTTGAGAAAATTGATTGTATGGGTGATGATGAAATAAACATGTACAGGCAGATATCCATTTGGAGTAGTGTGGTCAGCTACTCTGACTTTCTGTATGCTCACATTTTCTGAAAGAGAATTTGCATGATCATATAAGAATAGGTCTCAAATCAAGCAATGTTCTTGATACATTATGTATTTCAGGAAAATGAAGAATGTACTAACCATGTCTATTGTGTGCCTTTGAGTCAATTCTGACTCATGGTGAGCCCGTGTGACAGGGTGGAACTGTCCCATAGGGCTTTTCATAGGTAATCCTTATGGAGCAAATTGCCAGGCCTTTCTCTTGTGGAGCAGCTATTGGACTCTAATGTCCAACCTTTTGATTAGCAATCGATCTTCATTATTGCACCACCAGGGCCCCTTTTAACCGTATCTGCTGATATTTAAAAAAGCAGCTCGGGGGACATCATGTGTATTAATAGCTTCTGGAATAGAAAATTCAATAGAATTACTGTAATTCTCATGGAGGGAATTTCCATTTGTCATGAACTGAAACCTTGGTTGTTTTTACCCCCTGTCCAGGTTACAGTTATCTGATCTGTGATCACATGAGGGCTGTGCATCTCTATATCAGTGCCCTGGAGAATCCCTGTCCACTCATGGCCTTTCCCTGTGCCAGCTACAAGGACTTCCTCGCCGGACAATGCTTGGATTGTTTAAACCCTTTCCTGCTTTCTTGTCCACGGATTGGTAAAATGCCACCCCTTTGGCTTCCTTTAACAATTTTGGGAAAGTTCAAGCCTTGTTAGCTGTCACATCTTTAAGTCTAGATCTCCTCTGGTTAAGAAGTCTATCCAACTATGAGAAGGAAAAATTGACCAAGGAGATACTCAGCCTCTTTGGAGTTGGAAGATGGCCTTGGCTCTCTGGGTTCCACCCCTCACACTCTTCCTCTTTACTGCTTCCTGCTGCCATATTTGCTCTTTACCCATCCTCACACATGCGGCCTCTCACTTAGAAGTCCCATTTCAGGACATTCTCTAAAAATATTGTGATCGCCCAAAGCCCTTGCCCCCACCAGATGTTTTTTATAGGCCTTTCTAGCTAGGCCAGTCATTGTGCAACTCCTGATAGACTCTAAATCAAGATGCTGTGGAGAATCCTCAGGAGTAGCACATATGGCATAATTTAGAAGTGTGAAGTTGTGGTACCCAGATGCTAGCTGAAGGAGTGCCTAATTGCTGGGCAGTTTGAGTGCATTCCTGGATACAGAAGGCCAATCTGGGCAGGACTCTAGGACCTGACCTCTAACTCACCTTGTGTCAATCAGTGATACAAATGTCCTGGAGATATTTAGGATGACAAGCTCCAGGAATAAACTCTTGGGTAGTGGAAATGGTTCCCTTCCCCTATGCTGGCCTCCCCACCTAACATCCCTGGCTGCCACTCAAAACTGAAGCAGCCTGTCATTGCTTATATGAATAAAAAGGATAACAGCTTGACAAAATGTTTATAAAGGGGCACCAATACTAGCTGTCATCGAGCTGGCTCTGACTAATGGTGACCGCTTGTACATCAGAATAGAACTGTTCTTTAGAGGGTTTTCAGGGCTGATTTTTCAGAAGGAGATCACCAGATCTTTTGTCTGAGGTACCTCTGGGTGGACTGGGACCTCCAACCTTTCAGTTAGCCGCTGAGCCTGTTAACTGTTTGTATCACCCAGGGTTTCCTAAAGAAGGGGCTGTTTTTGTGTGCCGTTGAGTTGATTCTGACTCATAATGACCCTATAAGACACAGTAGAACTTCCCCCACAGGGTTTCATAAGCTGAAATCTTTATGGGAGCAAAACACTAGGTCTCCTCCCCACCCCCACCATCACCATTTAGTGGCTGATGGGTTCAAACAGCCAAACTTTTGGTTAGCAGTAGAGTACTTAACCACTGTACCAGCAGTGCTCCTCAAAGAAAGGGTAGTTTCCCATAACAAAGCAAAACAACACTGTTTCCCACTCATTAGTCATATGGCCCTGGCACTGCCTATCCAGCTTCATCTCTCATTACACCTTCTCTTAAACTGAACTCTCCAGAGATACTAACTACTTGCACTTCCCCAAATACTTCATGTTTTCTCACCTTGTGTGCCTTTGTCCAAACTGCCGGTACTCACAGCTCAGAATGCTCCCTCCCCACTCAATAACTGATACTCTTCACATCAAACACTTCCTGTCTCACCCTGTTCCACTGCATAGGATACAAAGGTCATTACAGTGGATTGTTTTGCCAAGTTAGAGACATAATTTCAGTATTCTTATAATTATCTTTCCAGAACAGGCCAGCTGATCTGAACAATGTGTTTCCTCTTTGTTTGTGTGCTTAATCCCCCACTGGACTGAGTTGCTGTATCCTGGGGCTTAGCACAGGGTATGGTACATAATGAGCATGCAGTGTAGATATCTGTAGAATGAATGGACCATGAAATAATCAGTGCATGGGCATGGATGGGGACCCTGGGACCCTGAGGTGGCCTCCACAGGGCTCTTCCTCCTCTGCTTCTTTATTTCCAGGGCTGCTAGAACAAGGCGGTGTCAAGATAGAGCCACTTCCCAAGGAAGTGAGAGTCTACCTCCTCACCACTTCCAGGGATCCGTACTGTGGTGAGTGGGGGAAAAAAGGTACAGGTTCAATTCTGCCACTATTCAGACTGGCAGACTCCAGGGCTCTGGCTTGGACTGTTTCTAGCTCAATGTGGTATCAGAGGTGGGAGGTAAAAACTGGGGAGAGGGTGAAGGGTACAGCTTGGACCAAGGCAAAAATCACATGGGAGGTGGGGGCAGCAGCTTCTGGTCTTAGACAGAACCCAAACTTTCAGAGCTAGGCCAACCTATTGCTCTAGAGATGAGAACTGGGGGCATTTTACTATCTATATACTGATTCTAGATCCTTTTTTCCCCTGGAAGCTGCTTTTCAGCATGGTTCTCTCTAGAATGGAATTACAAGTGTCCTTTGGCATCCTCCATTCTGCATCCTTCTTTCTCCTTGCTTGGTACCCAGCCTGTGTGTCTCCCATCCTAACAGCCTTCCAAGGTCAGGGCCCCTGAGGAATACCAGTACTTCCCCACTGCCCTCCTTCCCCTTCACATACTCATTCTAGCTGGCCTGTGTGCTTCCAGCCACTGCATTTCATTGAATCTAAGATGCCAGTGATTGCAAAAGATGTTGATTGTGAAAGCAGAGTGGGTCTTACACTCCATAACTACAGTCAGACTTAACCATCACCCTCCCTAAGCAATTTGCATTTTAACTAGGGTAGCTATGCTGCCTGTTATCCTGAGGTAGATCTCATCTGGTTTACCATGTGTACAGGATGAAAGTGTGCTCATTAGGATAATAAGTTTTATGATCAATCTAATTTTAAGATTTTCTGATCAGCTTGTGTCAGGTTGGTTGATGGATCTTTATGGCAAGAGACTTTCCTGGCGTTAGAAGTTCTGGGGAAGTGTGTCATATGGAACCCAAAGCTCAGATTCTGGTCAGTCAGACCCGGATTTGAATCTTAACAGCTATGTGATCCAGAATAAGTTACTTAACATCTCTGAACCTCTGTTTCCTTATGTGAAAAAATGAAGACAATTGTAATACCTACTTCAAAGAACTTCATGTACACTGTTTATCTTTACAATTTATTCTTTGAAGTTGTTGTTGTTGTTGTTATGTGCCGTCGAGTCGGACCCGACTCATAGCGACCCCTCCTTGGGTTTCCTAGGCAGTATCACTACGGAAGGGGCAATCTACTTCTGTAGTGATACTGCCTAGGAAACTCAAGGAGGGGTCGCTATGAGTCGGGTCCGACTCGACGGCACATAACAACAACAACAACAACAACTTCAAAGAATAAATTGTAAAGATAAACAGTGTACATGAAGTCACTAGCACAGTGACTGGAACCCATTAAATAGTAGTCCTCTTTCCTTTATCAGCAGAAAAAAACAAACAAACCTCACTGCCATTGATTTGATTCTGACCCATAGCGACCCCCTTTGGGTTTCTGAGGAGGTAAATCTTCATGGAAATATATTGCCCAGTGTTCCTTCTGAGGAGTGGCTGATGGGTTTGAACGACCAACCTTCTGGTTAGCAGTCAAATGCCTCATGCACTATTCCACCAGAGCTCTTGGGGAGAATATTCTTCTCTGTGGAGAAGAATAGATGGGGGCATTTCTACCTTAAAGCTGGGAGAATTCGTGGCTACCTCTTATGAACAAGGTGTGTTATGCAGTCAATGTGGGCTTCCATATACATCAGCTTATCTGACAACCCATTTCTAAGAGGCAGTTATTAGGAAATTGAGGCTCTGAGAGTGACTTGCCCAAGGCTACATAGCTGGGAGAAAAAGCCAGGATCCCACTCCAGGTCTTCTGAATTGAAAATCGATAATTTTTCCATGCACCACTTCTTTCCACACACGTTTCTTTGTTTTACTTCTTAGAACCTGCTGTCTACAGGCCATATTTCTTGATTATTCTCCTGTCGGCTCCCTTACCCATCAGAGGTCAGCATGGCAGAAGGATGTTTTGTCTGGGGATGGGGGTGGAGGCAGTGCTGCTGGAACCAGACCTCTGGCTTCTAATTCTAGCTTCCAGGCAGGTTCTCAGTAACCTGAACTGGCTCCTCCAAGTCTGCAGAGCTAAGAATACACACCACAGGAATGCCTGATGAACACTTGGAGGTTAAAAGCATTTTAAGGTCCTTGTTGAGGAACACTCATGGAGCTATGATTTTTCTAACCATTTCATGTTTGTTGAGAGGCCCCTCCCAGGCTGTAGAGCATGGCCCTGTCTGTCCAACACACATAGAAGGACACAGAAAGAACCAAGCCAAGACTGAACCCTTGTTAGCTTGCTTGCTCTGAGCTTTCCCTTCTGAGGATCAAAGCTCCTCTCCCAGTGAATATGGGCTGTCTACCAGGAGCTCTGGTAGCATAGTGCCTAAGGCACTTGACTGCTAACCAGGAGGCTGGTGGTTCAAACCCACCAGCCCCTCCTCGGAAGGAAGGTTGGGCAATCCTACTTCTGTAGTGATAACTGCCTCGGAAACCCAAGGAGGGGTCGCTATGAGTCGGGGCTGACTCGACGGCAAATAACAACAACAACAACAACAACAAACCTGGGTATGGTCAGGTGATGTCATGGGCCACAGCTCCCCAGCTCACCATCCACTCCCAGGCTGTCATGGCACTGGGCTTCTACCCCCCAGACTTGGCCTCAGCAAGGCTTACAAGGACAGGTGACTCCTGTCAAGCATGCTTCAGCATGGACAGAGAATCTCCTTCCAAATAATACTTTTGGTAACAATATTATTTTTCCCTTGTAAAACAGTTTTCCTCACAAAGTCCTTGTCTACATACTGCATTTAATCCTCATGTCTTATGGCCACCACTCATGTGTCAGTTTGTTATACTTCAGTGGCTTGCATATTGCTGTGAGGCTGGAGGCTATGCCACCAGTATATAAAATATGAGCAGGGTCACCCATCGTGGACAGGTTTCAGTGGAGCTTCCAGACTACTACAGACTTAGAAGAATGAACAGGCCATCCACTTCTCAAAGAATTGGCCAGTGAAAACCTTATGAATAGCAGTGAAACACTGTCTGATATATTACTGGAAAACTTGATGAAAAGCTCTGAAACATTGTCTGATACAGTGCTGGAAGATGAGCCTCTCATGTTGGAAGGCACTCAAAATGTGACTGGGGAAGAGCTGCCTCCTCAGAGTAGAGCCAACCTTAATGATGTGGATGGAGTAATGCTTTCGGGACCTCCATTTGCTGATGGAGCACCTCGAAATTGAGAAGAAACAGCTACAAACATCCATGAATATTTGGAACATGCAATGTATGAAGTATAAATCTAGGAAAATTGGAAGTTGTCAAAAATGAAATGGAACACATAAAGATCAATATTCTAGGCATTAGTGAGTTGAAATGGAGTGTTTTTGACCCATTTTGAATCATACAACTATATGATTTACTATGCTGGGAATGACAAATTGAAGAGCAATGGTGTGGCATTCATCATCACAAAGAATGTTTCAAGATCTATCCTGAAATACAATGCTGTCAGTGATAGGATAATATCCATACATCTACAAGGAAGACCAGTTAATACTACTGTTATTCAAATTTATGCACCAACCACAAAAGCCAAAGATGAGGAAATTGAAGATTTTTTTTAGTCAAGTTTGCAGTTTGAAATTGACTGAATGTGCAATCAAGATGTGTTGATTATCACTGATGAGTGGAATGCAAAAGTTGGAAACAAAGAAGAATCACTGGTAACTGGATAATATGGCCTTAGAAACAGAAATAACACTGGAGATTGCATGACAGAATTTTGCAAGATCAACAACTTATTCACTGCCAATACCTTTTTTCAGCAACATAAATGTGGCTATACATGTGGACTTCACCAGATGGAGTACACAGGAATCAAATCTACTACATCTGTAGAAAGAGGCGATGGAGAAACTCAATATCTTCAGCCAAAAAGGCCAGGAGCTGACTCTGGAACAAACCATCAACTGCTCATATGCAAGTTCAAGTTGAAGCTGAAGACAATTAAAACAACTCCACAAATGCCAAAATATGACCTTGATTATATCCCTCCTTAAATTTAGAGACCATCTAAAGAAGATATTTGATGCATTGAATACCAGTGACTGAAAACCAGAAGAATTGTGAGATGACATCAAGAACATCATCCATGAAGAAAGCAAAAGGTCATTAAAAAGACAAGAAAGGAAGAAAAGACCAAAATGGATGTCAGAAGAGACTCTGAAACTTGCCCTTGAATGGAAAATAGCTAAAGCAAATGGAAGAAATGACAAGATAAAAGAGCTGAACAGAAAATTTCAAAGAGCAGCTCGAGAAGACAAAGTCAATTATTATAATGGAATGTGCAAAGACTTGGATTTAGAAAACCAAAAGAGAAAATGTTCAGCATTTTTCGAGCTGAAAAAACTGAAGAAAAAATTCAAGCCTCAAGTTGGAATGTTGATAGATTCTATGAGCAATATATTGAATGATGCAGGAAGCATCAAGAGAAGATGGAAGAAATACACAGTCACAGTACCAAAAAGAACTAGTTGATGTTCATCCATTTCAGGAGGTGGCATATGATCAAGAACCAGTGGTATTGAAAGAAGAAGTCAAAGCTTCACTGAAGGAATTAGCAAAAAACAAGGCTTCAGGAACTGACAGGACACCCACTGAGATATTTCAACA